ATTTGTGATGGGAGTAGTAGCTGTCATTCATTTCATTTATGCTTTCTATTCCATTAAAATATAAAATTTTAAGAATTCAGAAGTTAATAATCTGGGAAGAGGGCATGCAAAAACTAAACCTGACACTCAGCCCATTTCTCATTCAAGGCATTTGCAAAAGTTGAAGTCCCATTGTGCCTTTCCTCTATAAGATTTTGTGATTCAGAGTCTGACCTCCTCTAACCCCAGGCTAGCATGGTGCAGAGGGGCTTGGGGATGCTGGCTGTCTGAGCCAATCAGAAAGTCTCATTATCCTGCCCTGGGTTTGTTTCATGCATGGACTTGTGTCTTAAGTCTGGTAAAACATGGTGGTAGGGGTTGGGGGAGTCTTTGGTGGATGGTGGGATGAATTCCTGGGAAAAGGTTATTCAGCCATAAAAAGTGACACAACAAAGAGATGAGCTTCTTCTACTGGATGGTATTCTGGCTGCATATAATGCTGGGGAAAATGGACACCAGTTCATAATGAGGAAGCAAGTTAGCACAGGGACAATAAAAAATAATGAGGCCCGGCCAGCATGGCTCAGTGGTTGAGCATCAACCTATGAATTAGGAGGTACAGTTCAATTTTCAGTCAGGGCACATGCCCAGGTTGCAGGTTCAATCACTAGTGTGGGGCATGCAAAAGGCACTCAATCAATAATCCTCTTTCATCATTGATGTTTCTCTCTTTATCTTCCTCTCCTTTCTTCTCTGAAATCAATAAAAATATTTTTAAATAATAATAATTAAAAAATAAAAATGATTGACAATGAGAGACAAAAACATGGCAACAACCAAAGTTTAAAACTACTGAATCAACCAACTTTAAAAATATAATACTTTGGCACTCATATTTATGGAATAATAAATTTTCTTTATTGTTTCAGCTAGTTTGGTCAGGGAATCACCTTGCAACCTAAGGCATCCTCATTAACATACCCTTACAAACAAAAGATCATCAAAGAGAAAAAGAGAGACTAAAATGGTAGAACTAAGAAGTATATGTTCAGGTTGTTTAGCAGAAAATGAAATGCCAAGAGCAACAGACAAAGAGAGAATATTAAAAGAAGAGAAAAACAGTTAATTACCTACAAGGGAGCACCCCTACGATTGTCAGCTGATTTCTCAATAGAAACTATGCTGGCCAGATGGGAGTGGCAAGAAACATTCAAAGTGATGAATAGCAAAGACCTACAACCAAGATTACACTACCCAGCAAAGCTATCATTCAGAATTGAAGGTCAGATAAAGAGTTTCGCAGATAAGAAAAAGCTAAAGGAGTTCATCACCGCCAAACCAGTATTATATGAAATGCTGAATGGTATTCTTTAAGAAGAGGAAGAAGAAGAAAAGGGTAAAGATAAAAATTATGATCAACAAATACCATGTTTCCCCGAAAATAAGACATCCTCCGAAAATAAGACCTAGCGCATGGAAAAATAAGACATCCCCTGAAAATAAGATCTAGCGCATCTTTGGGAACAAAAATTAATATAAGACACTGTCTTATTTTCGGAGAAACAGGGTACATATCTATCAACAAGTGAATCTAAAAATCAAGTGAATTAAAAATCAGATGAACAGAATAAACTGGTGAATATAATAGAATTAGGGGCATAGAGAGGGAGTGGACTGAAAATTCTCAGGGGAAAAGGTGTGGGGAGTGCAGGAAGAGACTGGACAAAAATTGTATACCTATGGATGAGGACATTGTGGGGGAGGTAAGGGCAGAGGGTGGGGTGGGAACCGGGTGGAGGGAAGTTAGGGGGGGGGGGGGCAAAAAGAGGAACAATTGTAATAATCTGAACAATAAAGATTTATTAAATTTTTAAAAATCAATGAAAATATTAAAAAATAAATACAATTAAAAAAAAAAAAGTTAGGCATTGGGCCAAAACCGGTTTGGCTCAATGGATAGAGCATTAGCCTGCGGACTGAAAGGTCCCAGGTTTGATTCTGATCAAGGGCATGTACCTTGGTTGTGGGCACATCCCCAGAAGGGGGTGTGCAGGAGGCAGCTGATCGATGTTTCTCTCTCATCGATGTTTCTAACTCTCTCTTTCCCTTCCTCTCTGTAAAAAAATCAATAAGATATATTAAAAGTAAATAAATAAATAAATAGATAAATAAAAGTTAGGCATTGGAGTCCCATGTCTTCAAAGTTACTGTTAGACTCCCATTTGATTTTTTCTATCCCATGGGAAGAGTGTGTTCTCTGTCACCCAACCATCAGCGAGAATAGAGAGCCGAGGGAAAAATAACAAGGGTAATGACCTCCAATGCCAGAAAGGTCAGGCAGATAATCTAAGAGAATGAAGCAGCTGGTGGGAACGGTGACAACATAAGTCAGATGTTCCATGTAGGGACATGTGCCTCATCTAAAGAGGCAACTACTATTCAATTCTGGGTAGGTGTCACCATGAAGAAAGATCTGGCAAATTTTCTGAGGGGAAAAAAAATATTCGATTTTTAATAAATGTAGTTTGTTGATTGTTTAACCTTGGCAAAAAATCTGATTTTTTTAAAAACAAAAAAGAGCCGAAACCGGTTTGGCGCAGCGGTAGAGAGTCAGTCTGTGGACTGAAAGGTCCCAGGTTCGATTAAAGGCATGTACATTGGTTGTGGGCACATGGTGGGGAGTGTGCAAGAGGCAGCTGGTCCATGTTTCTCTCTAATTGACATTTCTAGCTCTCTATCTCTCTCCTTTCCTCTCTGTAAAAAATCAAAATATATATTATTTTTTTAAAAAAAGAAAAACAAAATACCTTGTGTCAAATAAAATACATCTGCAGCCAGATACAGCCTACAGGCCTATAGTTTACAACTTCTGAAGAAAAGGATGTTATGACATGATATAATTTGTTTTTCATAATGTGGCTTTTCAGTAGGCTGGTCGTTTATTTCCTCTTACATTTAAGAGACACTGAGCAGAAGCTCTTTCCGGAATGTTAGCCAAGAAGTGAAAATAAACTGATGTCCACAGACCTGCTGCCTCTCGCCCCAAGGAACTGAATCCACGGCCCCCTACAATGCCTCTGAGCAGCTCCAAGCTCTGCCCCTTCAGGAAGGTGCTGGAGTTCAAGAGATAGAAGCCATTCTAGCCCTCTCCACACCATCTCCTCCCCCATCTTAATGCTAAGAAGTGGCCCCAAAATAACCTTGACCCAGCAGAGAATGTATGATGAAAAGTCAGCACAAACAGTGATAGTCTGGGGAACAGTCCTAGCACTGCCCCTGAACCCCATCCCCCAAGATCAGGTAGTAGGATGTCACCCACAACAAGCCTGGGGACTTCTGAATACCCTCAGGTGACCCAAACTAACCTCGCTCAGTTATCCTTAAACTAAACAGGAGAATTTCAGTTCATGGTTTCTTACTTAAATATGACACTGAAAAAGAAAACATACTTTGATCTTATGTCAAACACTTTTATTCTTAAAGTGAGAAGTTCATGAAGATAGCTATAGGAGAGTGAAACATTTAGAGTAGAAAAATTGTGGGTGCTAACCAAACTTCAAATACTGTCACAGCAGAGTTATTCCAATAGCACTTTTCAGCACAGCAGACCACACATGTTAGAATTAACTACGTTCTCTGAACACCTCGCAATGGACATGCATAAGCGATGGAAGCAAACATTTAGGGACTATTGTCCTTGAGATCTTACAGGATGGATTTATGCATACCTCAGGATAAATATATTACAACACATCCAAAACAATTCACATCCACTTAAAAAATGTTTTGACTTCAAAGAAATTGGTATAAAGACTTTTAAAACAACAAGACAGATATAGGCATGAAAAAGAATGCTACTTTTATGTGCAAGGTACCGGATTCTTGAATTGAGAATCAGTGTCAGTCCTCACTTCCAACATCACATCGAAAAAGTGTAGTGGAAACGTTAAATCACCTTCAATATGAAGGATGTGAGTTGTACATACACTGACAACACTCTCAAAGACACAACAGTATTGCAGGAGGAATGCCAGTATACAGAGTGGACCTTTTTATGAGGCCAAGCACTCGTGAGTTATCAGATGACCCTTCAGATATTTGGGATAAGCAACTACAGTATTCTGGTTTCATCAAGGCACTTGCAAAGAGCTACCTTGGACATGACGGAATCCCTACAAGTGGTTAGCCACTGGTGATGGCATGTTTTTGTTTGTTTTTTTTTTTGTTTTGTTTTTTTGGTTAAGCAGCATTTTCTACTGAGAACTCAAGTATGATGCCTTGATCACAAGCAAGGTCACTTATTATATTACGACTGCAAAACCAGATTTGCCTAACCTTTCCCCAAATCATGGTTTTTGATCAATCATGTCTGAATAGAAAGGCTTCCCTTAAAATCTTGATTCTCCAGAGTTATAATTCACCTTTCTTCAATACCACCCAACACCCCCTAAAGCTTGTTTGGTTTTTCTCCACAAGAACACATATATTGGATCTTTTTCTCCCTTCTACAAATTACTTCCCCAGGGGAGAACTGCAGAACCAACTTAAAAACACAAAATAATCTTCCATTTCTCACCAACAGTTAAGTATCAGACCTCCCACTCCTACTCTGACTCAAGCTACAGAGTCCTTTGTGAACACTTAACCAGACGTTCCTCATACCATTAGCACAGCTTTCCTTCACCATCAACTGCCCCTCTTCAACCTTTCCTTGCCCAATGCGAAAGCTAATGAATTGAGAGGGAAGGAGAAATGGCATTGAAAAAGTATCACTTTGATAAAAACAGGATTCCAGGCTATTACTTGATAATAGCAAAGTTGGGCAGCATCATCCATATAGACCCCAACACTAAATTCTCCAAGTGGCTATCTTTTTTTTTTTTTGTAGCCAGGTCTCAAAGCTCAAACCTAAACCTACAGAAGGAAAGTAGCCAGGACTTCCTAATATTGAGCATTATCTTAAAGACCTAGAAGTACATGGGGAACATGACAGGTCCAGACAATTTACTAGGTTGCTTAATTCATCGATAAGAGGCAAAGTTCTCCATTCTCCCCCAGCTCTGCCATTCTGGGAAGAGCCCGCTGGCCAGCCTCGGACTGCCAAAGATGGTTGGCTCTAACTCAGTCTTGGGGGGCACCTGGTAGAATGCACAGTTCTGGGATGCCATCTGCGTCTGAACGCCATCAGGTTTCCATTGCACGTGAACAATTCTATAATTCTGACCCTCATTGTTGTCCCAGAAGACCTGCCCGTTAGCCTGGTAAGAAATGCAGAACTCAATTTTTTCCTCAGTTGGAATGACGGAGGGTAAGTCAATGGCAAACGAGAAAGTGTCACTGTCTGAGCCACCGTACACATTCTTCATGTAGACACAGTCCACATTGGTGTAGTTTTTCCAAGTATCAAAGGTAATACGGATCTGGACCTTCTTCTCGAAGCTCACGTTTTTTACCTTCACAGTCCCAGACACTGTTCGCTCTTGAAGAGAGCAGTTCTCCAGACACACAAAATTCTTCTGGAAGTGGCTCCGAAAACTCAGGTAATCGATTGATGGCTGAGGGAAGTCTAAAATCAAATTTTTCTCCTCATGGAGCTTCAAGCCAGAGGACAGGTCATCAAGGTCCAAGAGATCAAACTGGAGATCCCACGCTGGCTCTTCGGGGAGGTCAGAGAAGACGTGGATGGCGGTGAGGGAGAGGCCCTTGGAATCTGCAAACACAACCCTCTTTTTGGGCTGATTGTGTGGACTCTTCCAGTCGTTCTGTGATTTGGCTTCCTGTTTTACATTAAGACACGGTTTCAGAGGCTTTAATTTGTTGACAAAATTTCTTCGACGAAGGTCATCGTATGGGCCCAGGAAACTCTTCAGAGGTGGGGAATGAGCCAAGCAGAGCCTCATGGCCACATCCACTGGCATGACTGAACTTGTCAAGGGCCGTGGATCTAAAACCTGAATCATTCTGGAATATGAGAAGAAAAAAGGGTATTTATCACCTAGATCTAGAATACTCTTCCCCTGCTCCCAAATACACACATACTATTTTATATTGGCTAACTTATGGCCTGCACAGTATCAGGGAGTGCTGTCATATGTATGAAGAGAAAACAGTATTATAATCAGATCTGCATTCTATGTTTGATTCTACCATTGACTAGCCACAAGGCCGTGGGTTAACTGCTTTCAACACTTGGGGAGTCTCAGATTCCGCATCTGAGACATAAAAGGATTAAGATTATTAGAGATTACCATCTCTAATGCAGCTTTAAAAACCATTGGCTCTGTTCCCGACCAGTGCTTTTCAGACCTGTCTGGTCACAATGGCCTAAGGAGTTGGTTTTCTTTCTTTTTCTTTAATGCAGAATCCAGGGACTTAGAGTCACTAAGGCAGAACCTCTGGCATTGGGGACAAGGAGTTACATATGTTCTTAAAGCTTATGGTGATGTTAATGACCAGACAGGTTCTGGAGCCATAAGACTCCGTGCTTCCTCTGGCTGTTTTCCTGATTTTTGCTATTGAATTGATTATATGTCTCTGAAAAGGTAACACGCTTGAAAAAAAAAAAAAAAAGTTCTCATGGAACCGTTTTGTGAGAAGGCTAGAAAGAGTGAAGTCAGAGAATTATCTCTGTACTTGGATTAGCATGCTCTGCCTCATAAGCGACTGAAATGCAACCCAGCAAAGCATTTAATGCACTTAAAAACTTCACACAATCTATGTTTCATGTACAAAGACATCTCTGAAAAGACACATTTAAATGGGAAAAGCTGATAACCTGAAAACAACTACTTTAATATATATTACATATATAAACATATTACTATCAAAAATATTAATAGGAAATACACCAAAAAGTTAATTATCTCTGGGTGATAGAATTGTAGGTGATCTGTTTTTTGTTTTTGTACTTTTGGGGCATTTACTAATGTTTGGTCAATAGATATTATAACGAGAAAGATAAAACTATAAATTTAAACAAAACTGCTCAGCAATATTAAATTAAGAAGTGCCCCTCAAGTAGGATTTTTCCCCTGGCCCTTAGCCCTCGGTATGTATTGCCAAGCATATGGATTTTTTCTTCCCTATCCTAGCCTTACAGATAAGAGGTGTATGTATACTGTACATGACATTTCTTAGTAACTCTTCACAACTGCTCTAATAGTCGTTATCCCAAAATAGATAATAAAAGTTCCTTCACAGGATTTATTTTATTAGTGCTGGGGTTTTTCTGGAAGACCTATAAACTTCGAAAAAATAAAATCTAAAGCTGTATTTGTTAGTCTAACAATCCTTCACAGGAAGGCTTTTCAGAGAAGTCTGCTAAATGTGTCTGAGGAAGAAGCCATCTCAGATGGTTTTGTGGGGAGGTTTGTCTTATGGGTTTGTTTTGTGGTTTTATTTTTTGCACGTATAGAAAGGCAGTTTTAAAATTTAGCCATTTCCCCGAAATTTTAAGTCCTGGCCAAGAGTTCAAAAATCAGCATTTGCTCAAACTCAGCCGCTGAGTTTGCTGTGGCAAACAGTGATAAGATGAGTGGAGGACGACGAATGAATGCAAATACGGTCCTGTAGCTTTCTCCCCAAGCTCAACGACCCAAGCAGCAACGTCAGAGTGCCGTCCCCTCAAATGAGGAGTCCTTGGGGCCTTTGAGCAGGACCAAGAGAAGACAGTCGCGATCCATAAGGGAATCAGAGCTGCAGCTGACTTTCAAGACAGTTTCTGGTTTAGGATGCGGGTTACCAAAATCAGCTCCACTTAAGGAGTACCGAGCAAATTTAGATGCCTCCGAGGCCTCCCCCTGCTAGATTCCACTCAGCAATGGTTCAACGTGCCCTACCCCGGGGTCTGCAGAGCGGACAGAAGGGAAGCGCAGTCCCAACCGCCCCGCACCTGCCCGCACCCCCGTGCCCTGGGGCGCAGGTCTGCAGCGAACCTACCTGGTGCAGCTCATGAGGCAGAGGAGCGGCGTGGGACCGAGAGAGAGCCGGTTCTGGCTGCCTGTGCAAGTTCGAGCCTGGCTCCCAGCTGTCCCAGCCGGGCAATAGCTCCAGTGGATTGCGGGTGCGGCTTCCGAGAGGCCCCTTATCTGCTGCTGACCACGTGGCCCGAGCCCGCGGCCAACCAGCGCCCGGCTGGGGCCGAGCCCTCTCCGGAGTACGTGACCGCCGTGGAGCTGGCCTCCCGCGGGTGCGGGCTGCCGGCTGACGGAGGTCCCAGGGGGCGGGGGCGGGGGCGGGGGCGGGGGCCGGCCGGGGAGAGAGCCGCAAACCTCCCCGAGGCCCGGAGCCAGCTCAGCTCCAGCTCAGTTCCAGCTCTGCCTGGAGCTCAGCCCCAGCTCAGCCCCAGCTCAGCTCCAGCTCTGCCCCAGCTCTGCCCCAGCTCTGTCCCAGCTCAGTCCCAGCTCAGCCCCAGCTCAGCCCCAGCTCAGCCCCAGCTCAGCCCGGCTGCTGGGAGGGAAGGAAATGCCTTAAGAGTCTCCAGGCTTCTGTGCACAGTTAAATCTGAGCACAGAAAGCTGGGCTGTTTCCCCAGGCATATGTTATTTGAAATGTTCATCTTGTTCATTGCTAGGTGCATTCTTTTTTTTTTTTTAATTTCTTTACTGATTAAGGTATCACATTCTTTTTTTTAAAATATATTTTATTGATTTTTTTTACAGAGAGGAAGGGAGAGAGATAGAGAGCTAGAAACGTCGATGAGAGAGAAACATCGACCAGCTGCCTCCTGCACACCCCTTTCAGTCCGCAGACCGATGCTCTATCCACTGAGCCAAACCGGTTTCGGCTAAGGTATCACATTCTTGCATCTTCTCCCGCACCTCAGCCAGAGCAAGAAGTTGGCTGCATGTGTTTTGCTTAGAGGGGATCCATAGATGCACCCCTGGCACTGAAGGCTGTCAGGAAGGAACCGTTCTCTAACCCATGTTGCTAATTAAGCATGCCAGCCCCATAAACGGGAGGTGGCGTTTATGTAGAAGGCACTTGGTATTTGGATCTAAGTCTTCAGTTTTTCTCCCTGGAAGGGAACACTAAAGCCAGAAATGAAATGGCCTAAAGCTCACATGGCTGGTCAGCCACAGAGCCAGTGGCCAGCCCAAATCTCTGGACTCCATTTGGCCCTCCTTCGGCAGGAAATCAGAACTAAAGCTGACTCTCCTTAAGACAGTTTTCTGATAACCAACATGTTAAAATACCACACTCTTCAGTTACCCGACTCTGCGAGCCAGTTACTTTTGCTGAGGTTTTGTTATTTTGTTTGCTTTGGGGAGTCTTTAGACCATCAGCTACAACCGTAAAATTGTATTTCTAAGACGCTGATGAATTCTTTTTTATGAAACTCGCATCTTCTATTGACTTAAATATCCAGCGTGAGTTAAAAAATACAAAATCCCTTGTGTCTTTTAAGTAACCAACGAACAGTGGAAATGTTCAAGTGGCGTGATTAGAATGAAGAAAAAGAATATCTGCCCAGTATCACTGGGAAAGATACTAAAATGCTTGGGCTTGAGTTGTGCAATGAAACATGCAACTAGAGCAATTCACTAGCCCCTCAGTCAGTCAAAGCTAGCTGAAAGCGTGTATTCTTTGGGTTTGACACTCACCAGCTGCATGAACCCAGGCACATTTAAACTCAATTTTCGCACCTGTACGTGCAGATAGATAGTAAAGTTGTTCTGAGGATTACATAAGATTGTGGAGATGAGAAAACTCAACCCAGTGCCCAGCACAGGTATTCAACCCACATCATCAGTTCTGGCCGGTCCTCCACTACTTAGTATTAATTTTCATTGTCACCACAGGAGCCAGAACCTGAGCTGAGGTACTGATAAGAGCTACTGATAAATGCTTGTTGAACACTGTTCTAAGTGTTTTATGTCTTATCTTTTTAATTTCCACAACAACCCTCAATGGTGTGCATTATTATTGGTACCATTTTATTTATTTTTTAAAATATATTTTTATTGATTTCAGAGAAGAAGGGAAAGGGAGGAAGAGATAGAGTCATCAATAATGAAAGAGAATCATTGACAGGATGCCTCTTGCACAACCCCTACTAAGAATGGAGCATGCAACCCCAGCATGTGCCCTTGAGTAGAATCTAACCCCGGGCCCTTCAGCCAACAGGCCATCCCTCTATCCACTGAGCCAAACCAGCTAGGTCTGTTAGTCCCATTTTAGCGGAACAATAATGAATCATTTAAAGGTCAAGATCTGCCCACAACCTCACAAAGAGAGCTTGGGTTCAAATCTAGCCGATGCCAGAGCAATAACCACTGCACCACACTGCCTTCCTTTAATTACTCGTCAGCAATTAGAATGATGGAGGTGGAAGGTGCCTTAGGTAGCATTGGCTTCAAAGTCTTTATTTCACAGATGAGGAATCTAAAACCCGGAGAGGCTGTGCTGCTTGCCAGGGGCTGGTTAGGTCAGAGCCAAAATTAAAACACTAGGTAGAGTTTTCTCCTCTACTCATTATCATATGTTGAGCTTAAAAAGTGGATATTATCAACTAAAGTTATGAGAAACATAGACTAATAAGAATGTATTATGATCCCACTTGGAAGTAAGGGTATGCATACAAAGGGAACAGAATATGCTCTACCAAAATTTTAACAGTGCTTATTTTTTTTTTATGGTGAGATTCACAATTGCTTCTCTGTATTTTTAAATTTTTCTACATTGAACATGGACTTCTGTAATTAAGAAATTCTTTTGAAGGACATTAAACCTTTCAGATGTAAATAACAAGTATAGCCTACCTATTAGGTAGGACCGTGTCATTTATCCACACAGTCCTTGTGAGTTTGCCCTTGTTTCCATTCATGCCACTTTCTCTCCTGCCCCCTGGTGCTGACTGATGCCACAAAAACCACTCTCTCTGAAGTCAAAATAGATCCGCAAACAGGGCTCTCTCCTAACAGGCGTCAACACTCAATAAACCTCTAAACCGGTCCCTCACAGTCTTCCTTCCCCCCTCCTCCAGCTTTATTGAGATATAATTGACATATACCATTGTTTACATTTACGGTGTACAATGTATTAATAATGATACACTTAGATATAGTAAAACCATTACCACCAGAGCATTACCTAAGGACATGTAAGTTGTTTGTGAGACTGTGACAAACAAATCTTGGCAACTTTGAAGTGTATACTACAGTATTTATTATTAACCATTTTGTACATTACCGGTAGATGCCCCAAAGTTCAAAGTTCAATATCCCCCAAAGTTCATATTCATTTCCCCATTTCCCCACCACCAGTTCCTGGTAACCACTATTTTCTGTTTCCTATAAATCTGTTTTGTTTTGTTTTGTTTTGTTTTGTTTTAGATTCCACATATAAGTGAGATCATACAGAATTTGTCTTTCTCCATCTGATTTATTTTACTTAGCATAATTACACCCTCCTCACTTCCGGGTTCTTACCACCTTTATGGAATAAGAGGAATTGGAATGGAATCAGTGTTCTTAGGAGTTGCAACAGTGAAGAAGTGGGCTAGGAACACCACCTTTATGGAATAAGAGGAATTGGAATGGAATCAGTGTTCTTAGGAGTTGCAACAGTGAAGAAGTGGGCTAGGAATTCTCCAATTGTGGTTTGGAAATAGTTTGTTCTACCCATCTTGACAATAAATCTACCAGTGAGGGTTTATCTATTGATGTATTGTTAATCCTCACCCAAAGATATTTTTCCATTGATTTTAGAAAATGGAAGGGGGATGTCACGCCCAGATTTGTGATCCTCAAGGACCACCAGGGAGCCGAGTCCGATGCAATTGCAGAAAGCCTGAATTCCATGCCAGTATGGGCTCTGTTCCACTCATACCAACAGTGTGGTGGAAGAGAGAGAGAATTTCAACAGTTCAATGGGTTTTATAGGGGTGGTAATGTCACTGCTTTGGCTGACCCTGATTGGTTGGGTGAGGGCTAGGGTCCAGTTACACAAAATGGAGGATAGTTCCGCCCTGCCCCACAGTACAAAATGGAGTCAGGAGTTAGCCTCGCCCCGCCTTGCCCTCTCAGGGGAGATAGAGAGTGAGAGAAGCATCGATCGGTTGCCTCCCACACACCCTGACCAGGGCTGGGGAATCAAGCCTGCAACTGAGGTACGAGTTCTTGACCAGAATCAAATCCTTCAGTCCACAGGCAGATGCTCTATCACTGAGCCAGATTGGCTCAGGCAGTGAGGGCTTATTGATCCGTGCAGTATTCCCAGCCATGCCAGGGGTTTCAAGGACTCATACGTCACAGCCCTTTGACCTTGAGGACATTATAATTTTTATTACAAAACCCAAGTTTGAAGTAATGAAATACCCAAGGGATATTTTAAGAAGCTACTAAGCAAGGGCTAAAGATTGCATGGCTTACACAAGTGGGTCTCTTACAGCATTTGCCCAACATGTCACCAGAGATCTGCCCTTATATGAAACACCCTGGGGATTCCAAAGTTGCCAATTCATTTTCTGCAACCTTGCCCTTTTTTTTTCATGCCCAGTCAAGAGAGTGCTTGAGGATTCAACCTTATATTTATATTAAAATGTCATACTTTAACCACAATTAGCAGTAATGGGATGAACCTCATAACTGACCTTCATACCCCACAATGTAGAGTCCATGAGGTTGAAAACTATTCATTTTGATTAAAAGGACCAGAATTTCTACTTTTAAGAGCAGAGAAGAGCCAGTTTACATGTCTCGGTGAATAGTAAGCTCATATACTAATTCCTTCTTCCTTTGTTAGTGATGTTGGATGGGAACACAATATCAGGTGAGGGGGTATTCAATCAAACACACATGCACACGCTGCTTATCTTGGGCCAGGCACTGCTTTAAACACTTTACAAATATAAACTCATATAATATTTATAATAATCCTGTGAGGTAGAGGCCATGATGACTATCCCCATTTTACAGATGAGGAAGCGGAGGTCATCTTACGAGTTTATGTA